GGCAGCAGAGATGGGGGCACGCGAACAGCCAAATTCAAGAAGGCTTTAAAATAAGTTCTTAAGTGGCCACACCCAGGTCTTCACGTGTTTGTAGCCGCCCAGCTTCACACAGACTTTCTCATCGAAATACAGGGCGAAGTGTAGCACTTTACCTGTTAACACTGCGTCTCAAATATTCGTGTGTTCTCGTCTCTTCTTCCAAGTGTGAGAAATCCGTCACTGAAAGTCACTGGAGGAGGACAAGGACCAGAGCCGGGGTCTTTCCTGTTGCAGGTTGAAGTGCTGACACCCGCCGCTGACTTCAGCGGACGGCCGATAAGGAACTTATTTATTGTAATACCTCATAGACGTCTTACCACACCCAGGTACATTTAGGAGCCTGCCTGCGGCAGGTGCATCATGTGATGAGCCACACCGCCTTGGGTGAGACTGAGTCTGATCTGTCCATGAATACTTGGAGCCGAGTCTTGTGCTGTATTCCCGATCAAAAGACTTCTTAATATATTGGAATAACACTTTTTTAGTAAGCAAAATCTCTTTTTATTTGCTTTGCAGGGTTGGAGGTTTTTTTTTTTTTTTGTTTCATGTCTCAGATTTCTTTTGTATTTCTTTTTTTAACATCCTACATTTCCCTCGTGTTTTTTAACTCCCGCTTACGCGCTCTTTGTACAATTTTAAAAAGTAATAAAATCCAACGTATCGAAGTGGTTCATTTTACTTTCCTTATTTGGCATTATGTATTTGGCTTAAAGTATTGGGATTACCGAATGGGGCACGGAGGGGTGTGGATGCATGTTCGAGCATAACCAGACATTTTGCATTGTTTTCATTATGAAATGGTATCCTTCCCTTAGAAGTACAGTTCTGAAATAACGTGAGAGTCTTCTTTTGGATGAACAAGAGAAGACCGTGGCCATCATTTCTCTTTATGTGGCTAATTTGAACTGAAATAAACTAAATTACATCGTGAACTCCTTCTTTCAGATATGCATGTTCACCTCAATGCCTCATAGAAGGCAGCGTGTCTGTTAGTTTTCTGGTCTTATTCACTGTGTCCTTCAAGAAAAACTCAACTTGTGTAGTGACAGTGGTGGCAACTGGCCGTCTGTGCAGGTCACGTCAGCTCCGTCTGTGCTCGTTCTGACACTGGACCAGAGGACCAGAGTGCCACGAGGAGGGTTGTGGGAGGCTGAGGCCTAAGCGGAAAGAGCCTCCTAGTGGAGAAAGGGCGAGGAGGGTCTGCAGGGTCTGGCCGAATCTCGAGAACTCAGTGGAGGGACCTCAGGTAGAATACTCTGTCTCAGGAGGGGAGCCGCATACACACCAGGCCCCCAGATGATGGATGCCTCAGCCGGATATCCCTGTATATTTACCCTGAGAAAGAGCCCTCACCTACATACGCTGGGCTGAACGAGTAGCACGTGGCCCATGCTCCTGGAAGCCGAGACTCGCCCAAGAAGTTGACTCTCAGAGCACAGACCAAGAGGAATGAAGTCTGTGTTGAGAATGCGCAGTGAAGGCAGACTGGAAGCATAAAAGGCTGATCTCAGAAAATCTGCTTTGCCAGGCACCGGACAGATTGGGTCCCGGGCTGGGCACCCCCTCTGTACCGTACACGGGTGGCGTGGAGGTGGGGACACTTGCTCGTTGTGCTCACATTACTGAATGCTCTTCCACTTGACCCCCAGCACACTGTTATCTCCTGTGCATGTCTGCTATGGAACCTTGCTTAGCTTCATGCTACGGCATTGTGTCCCTTTGGAAGGACTGAGATGATCCAGCACGTGACATTCAATTACAGTTGACTAAGGGCCTCCATATGTCTGTTCTCATGAGGAAAAAAGCCCCTTCCTGTTGCCCCGTCTACCCTCTACCTGTGCTAATAGTTTCATGTGCCCGGGTCTTGTGTTCCCCTGTCTGCACTGACAAAATGAGACCGAGAGTACCACCTGAGGAAATCACACACCAGGGAGAAGCGCAGATCCTTGGTAGATATCAGGATTAACTGGGGTTACGAGAAGTTTGCGGGCCATTCCCCGCAGAACAGGTGTATCGGACTGGACTGAAGGTGCAGCGTCTCAACAGTCCTGGTCATACGATTCCCAACTCATGAAGCAGCTACTTGGAATGAACTTGGTATAAAATAGGGGAACCCCTCACCCACAGGATAAGAGTATGTTTGGCAGCAATCATATGCGTGTGTGCAGATGGATTTTTCTTTCATCAGCTGTGACCTTTTGGAAGTGAGCAAAGTTGGCTGTGGTTTAACTGCCCTTAATTTATCATGCAGCACCCCAGCCACCGCTTGCACAGCCCCAACCAGTAGGGGCCGGTTTGACTTCAAGCCTTTTCCACGAATCAACCACATTTGATAGAGCAAATAGACCAGAAAAACCCTGAGAAAACAAAACACCAGCCCCTTCCTGCCCCCCACACTGTCCCCTGCACCACCGCCCTCCCCCTCTCTGCACCTGCCAGTGCAGAGCAGAGCCCGCAGGGCTGCCCAGGTCGGGTTGGGGAAGGTAGGGGCTGAGGATTGGAAGCCACAGGGGACACTGAAATCAGCCCACACGGCTCTGGGTCATTTGCTAGTCTCCCCTTTGCCTCTGTGCTTTCCATACACAGAAACAGTTCCAGATCTCTAGAGGCCCAGGTATTTGGTCTAAAGAGGCCTAATTAAATTCCTGAAAATGAAGGAATGGATGAAAATTAAATTTCCTCCTTTTGTGTATTTGGTGGGTCTTGTGCTGTTTCTACCTCCACTTAGTCTCCAAAAGCACCTGTTTCACAGAAACTGAAGCTGATTGTAAATAAACAAAAAATCCTTCCCAATTTTAAATGAGACATTATTTTATTCTAGTATATAAAAACTTTTACTTTAGGGGCGCCTGGGTGGCTCAGTCGGTTGGGTGTCCGTCTTCTGCTCAGGTCATGATCTTGCGGTTCCTGAGTTCTTGCCCCATGTCAGGCTCTGTGCTGACAGCTTGGAGACTGGAGCCTGCTTCGAATTCTGTGTCTCCCTCTGTCTCTGTCCCTCCCCTGCTCACGCTCTGTTTCTCTTTCTCTCAAAGATAAACATTAAAAATTTTTAACTTTTACTTTATTTTTTTTGATGTTTATTTATTTTTGAGACAGAGACAGAGCATGAACAGGGGAGGGTCAGAGAGACAGGGAGACACAGAATCTGAAGCAGGCTCCAGGCTCTGAGCTGTCAGCACAGAGCCCAACACGGGGCTCGAACCCACGGATCATGAGATCATGACCTGAGCCGAAGTCGGACGCTTAACCGACTGAGCCACCCAGGTGCCCCTTTTTGACTTTTACTTTAAAAGGATTCATTAGAAAAAGAGAAAAACAATCACTAATTTCTTCACCCACCTACTGTGCATTGAACATTGTGTTTTATACCCACATTTGTAGAAATATACATACACATATAAATGAGTGTCATACTTAATAGTATCATTCCTCAGAAATTATGGTCAAAGGACTGGACAAATATTGTACAAAAAAAGAAACATAAATGGACTCAATCTATGAAAATATGGTTATCGTCATCAGAAAAAACAAAACCACGGTGGAATACTACTTTTCACCTGTCAGGTTACCAAAATCCTGATGTTTGACAAGCACAGTCCTGACACTGACCTACACTGTGGTGGGAAGGGCACAATGGCGTTACCTCTGTCGGGGTAAGTTGGCAATACCTTCAAAATTACAAGTACACATGTCCAATATTATAAAACAAATTATAATTTCAGCATATTTTATAATAGTAAAAGATTGGAAGGAATCCATTCGTCTATCACAAGGAACTGATCTTACAAAATGTACGTTCACCAGTAAAATACTGTTCAGCTACGTGTCCTTATATATGGACATAAAAAGAGCTGAAGAATATATAAGTGAGAAAAGCAGAATAATGTATGTTGTATACTACCTGTGTGTTGGAAGAAAATGAGACATGTTTGTATTTATGTTTATATGTAAACTCATATTTGCAGAAATAACTCGAAAGATGCACAAGAAAGAAAAATGTGACCTGCAAATGTTTGGGAGGTAGAGACAGTGGTTGAAACAAGATTTCTTAGTTCAATTTTTAGAGTGTTTTGAATTTGAAATCATATGAAGGTATAATCTACCAATTTTATTATGGTCCTGCCATGTATATTTCTTCAACAACACTTCCTGATTAATTTTCCGTATCTTTAACAATCTGCATTTTTTTGTAGATGCATGTTAGTCCGTCATGTGACATCATTTAGTTTATTTCTGGTTTCTTATTGGGCGTTTGAGTTCATTTGTGACTGTTGTGAATGGTGCTACAGCATTGCACGTAAATCTTAGTGTGTTCAGTGTGTGTGTGTGTGTGTGTGTGTGTGTGTGTTCTCTATTACTTCTAAAGTATATCTGCCAACAGTAGATACAAATGCTATTGAGGACTTGCATGTATTCAGCATAAAAACTCATCACATTCACAAAACTCCAGGAGATGTGTCGCTGTAAGTCCGTTTTATAAATGGGAAAATTATGCCACAGAGAGTTCAAATAGCTATAGACCCAAGATTTAAACCCAGGCACTTGGGGTCCAGAGTCCAAGCACTTAACCCCTCCAGCACCCTCCCTTCCCGTGTTAGTGCAGCTCTCATGGGGTTCTTGTGACATCGGGAAACATGGTGCACGTGAGACACTGGTCCAGGTCTGACACACCAGCCAGGCATGCAACATGTTATAGCCTTTGCCACTGGAGTGTCTTAAACCAAATGAGTCTAATTCAGCTGCCTTTTGAAGGAGTAATAACTTGGGCACCTTCACTGGCTGTGGCTCCCCTGGGGACAGTGCCCCAAAGAAGGCATCACAAGGACTCTCTCAGGGAAAGAGTTAGAAATGTGGAATTGGCCATGATTACAACCAATGCTGAATTCGAAGGCTCAGTTGTCATGCTGTTCCTTACCTTAGCCTCTCAGATTTCACCAAATGAAAGAACACAGAGATAAAAGTACACTTTTGATTATTTTTATTATGCCTGTTACGAACAACAGAACAAAACTCAGGTAGCAAAGATGGCAGCTTCCATGTATGTAAAATAAAAGGCCTCCAGGCAGTTATCTGCATACAGAGCCCCAGGGGCCACTATGGAAGCTGCATGCCAGCTGTACTCAGAGGCGAGGGTGCTGGGTGGCTGACGGGCTGGTGGGCGTGAAGGAGAGAGTGGTACTGAAGCCCCCGTGAGTGCCCCCCGGCCCCGCCCCTGACTCATGGCAGAGTCTGTTCTTGGTGCAGAGTGACATTTCCTGTTTGCCCAGCAGTTTGTAAACCCATTCTGCAGTGATGACACATAGAAAAAAGACACATGTGAACTGCAATAACCCACACCCAGAAAGAAAGCCCCGCTAGAGCCTCAGCAGACACCTTTAGCGACAATAGCCAGTAAAGAAAAGTGGAGCCTTGGGCCACCATGTGTTACAACTCTTCTCATTGCGGCAGAGTGCTGGTCTCCCAAGCAGACAGTAGGCGATGATGATGGTGTAGACCATGCTCTTGACGAGGAGGATGACGTAGGTGTAGTAGGCAGAGGTGTTCGCACACTGCAGCTGTAGGGGGTCTAAAAGAAGCCATCGGTTAGTTTCACCTGTTGTTTTGAAAGGCTAGGACTTATTAATGGGAGGTAGGTTGTATTATGCAATTCTGATGACCTGGGTGGAAGTGACTTTCCTGCACCAACCCAACCCAACAGTAAACGTCTATACCACTGTCACCCCTACCACCACCACCAAGACAACCCAGAATCCAGCTTGCGGGTCAAGTGAATCAACAACTTCTGTGAAATTCACTTAGTACATTCCCAAGTCTTAAAAAGCAAGGTTATGTTTTAGATGAATGAGTCATCCTGAAGAAAGCATTCGTGATAAGTAGCTTTTACCATTTCTTCACCCCCCAGCATGTCTGTAAGCAACATATTGTTAGCTATTAAGCTAATATGATTTAACCACTAACTAAATGCCAAATATTTAATTTTGAGAGTTTTGTGGGCAAACCTTTAATCTTACTTAATTTTTCAGTGACCTACGAGATTATTATTTTCATTCCCATTTGACAAATAAATTAAGGACAGAGAAGGAATTTGCCGGGTGTCATACAACTAGTAAGTATCACAAGCCAGATCTTAATCCCCGCAACACAATGTTCAAGAATACATTCTTACCAACTCTAATTCTGCACCTCCACATGCAATAAGTACCCCCAGCAACAAAGAGTTAAGCAAAAATATAATGATGAATTACTGATTTAGCAGCATCTTACCCATTACATATTGTGCATTAATGAGATTCCTACCAAGTGTAGGAATTTCCATACTCTGTGGAAATTTGGTGGTGTTCACAGTAGGGTGGGTGGGAGGTTTTACAAGAAGGCATTAGTTGTGGAGAGCACTAGGTGATGAATGGAAGTGTTGAATCATTCACTATATTGTATACCTGAAACTAATATTACACGCTAAGTCAACTAACTGGAATTTAAATAAAAACCTAAAAAAATAACAAAAGAAAATAAAGTGGAAGGAAGTAGTTAATCCAAATTCTCTCCAATGTTAGGAGGTCATAACTAACTCCCTTATTTTTCCTGAATATTCCTCATTAGAGCTATGATGTTATAGAATGATTGCCTTTACTATCCTTTGAAATTACCCCGGAAATATATGATGTCAAGAAATAATTGATGACAATGGTTGTGGGACCAACTGACTACTCAATGAACCAGAAGGCAGGGTCTCTTCCTGTGGAAACTTCTTGTACAGGCTTTATCTCCAGAGAATCAGAACTCCAGAATTATTAGTACTTGGTATGAAAAGGGACATTGAGAGGTGAGGTACTCATAACTTCTTGCCTTTGGTCAGGTAATATGTTAGCTAAGGTCCTTGGTATTGGATATGGAGGGCAGATCAACAGGGGTGGAACCAATGCTCCTCGTCACTTTCTTGCACAGATGTGGGGAGAAAGGGACAGAAACTAGTACTTCTTTTTTTTTTTTTTCAACGTTTATTTATTTTTGGGACAGAGAGAGACAGAGCATGAACGGGGGAGGGGCAGAGAGAGAGGGAGACACAGAATCCGAAACAGGCTCCAGGCTCTGAGCCATCAGCCCAGAGCCCGACGCGGGGCTCGAACTCACGGACCGCGAGATCGTGACCTGGTTGAAGTCGGACACTCAACCGACTGCGCCACCCAGGCGCCCCAGAAACTAGTACTTCTAATGTGTCAGCTAAATGAGATACCCTATGCTAGGCATTCCACATATGTGACCTTACGTCTTCAACAACTGAGGGAGGTGTTATTCATGTTATTCCTGGTTGACTCAGATAATGTAAGTAATGTACCCATATTCATGCAACTAATAATTAAAAGGCTGAGGTTAAAAGTCCAGTTTGTGGCACTTGAAGCCCTGCACCCACACCCACGCCCCATGTGTGCACCTGTCTCAGGGCCTTGGCTTTGGAGTTTCTTGCACTATGATGACATCTTAGAGGAAGAATAGAAAACTGAGTAAGTATATGAACTCTTTTCTCCCCCACTTGTTTTTTGAGAGAAAGAGAGCGAGCGCATGAGTGAGGAACGGGCAGAGAGAGAGGGGGACAGAGGATCTGAAGTGGACTCCACGCTGACAGTAGTGAGCCTGATGAGGGGCTCAAACTCGTGAACCAAGAGATCATGACCTGAGCCTAAGTCAGACACTTAACCAACTGAGCCACGCAGATGCCCTAAGTATATGAACTCTTAAACCCTCTGTGTTGAAGCCTCAGATCTCACTGTGTGGCATGGTGCAAGGCATTTAATTAATTTTTGATCACTGCCCTCTTGTGTAAAATGGGAATAAAATCCTTCAGAGTGAGTATTAAGAGAATTAAACAAAATGCACTCACAGTAACACAACGCCTTCTGTACAAGAACCTCTCAGTGTTGGTTCGTGTTACTAAATATGAGCAAGAACACAGACTTAAAAAAATGTAGGAGCAACTTGATACTGTGTTTTCCTCAGTAAAAATAAAGACCACAGAAGCGAATAAAGTCCATTGGGGAAAGACTTCAGAGCCCCTCGCTGCACCCCTAAGACTATAAAGTCCTCTCATTCCCAAACCAGCATTTATTGTGTGAAGTTGATCCCTGGGAAATGAAGGACTGACTTAAAGTATCACTCAGTCTATTTTGCAAGATCCTGCCATTATGAGGCTTCTATCTGAAGCCAGGGAAGTTCAAAAGTAAAGCAGATCAGGAGGAAAAATGCTATAACATATCATAAAGGCAAACATACAAAGCCTTACCATTTTCATCTTTCAGAGAAGCTTCTATAGAATCAATGACAGCGAGCTCTACAAGATATAAGAACAAGTATTATTCAATTGTTCATATTCATTATTTGATGTGTGTCTGTGTTGGGGCTGAAAAGAAGAAAAGAAAAGAAAGAAAAAAAAGAATGAAGGAAGGAGAGAAGGAGGGAGGAAGGAAAAGAGAGAGGCAGAAATGAAAGAAAGGGAGAGAGGGGAAGGAAGGAAGAAAGAGAGAGAGAGAAAGGGAGAGAGAGGAAGGAGGGAAGGGAAAGAAGAGAGAAAGAGGAAGGAAGGAAGATAGGAAGGAATGAGGAGGGGAAAGAGGGAGGGAAGAAGGCAGAATCTGTCAATCCAGATAGAGCCATTACAAATATGAGCCCCACAATTCCAGAAATGGTTGACCTGATTTTATATAATTCAGTAGATCAATTCATAGACTGTGTTTCTGCACATGAAGACGTTGAAGTTCATGAATGATGCATTTTTTTTTCTTTTTTTCTCACAACTAGCGGGTAATGTCTGAGACTATCTTGTTTTCTTCCTGTGCTCATAGCTCCTAGCACAGTGTCTGCCTCAAAGTAAGTGTTCTGTAAATACTTGTTGAATTAAAATAATAAAGAAATAGAAAAAGTGATTGCTATACAGTCCTCAGCACCCACTGCTGACATGAAGGGATACTACCAAAATAATTCTTCCAACCCTGGAATCCACAGCAGAATCTTACACGTTGGGAGAAATTTGGTTTACATAATTCTCCCGTAGAAGCAAAGAAAAGCAGCCCTACCTTTCAAACCCTGCACTCCCCAGTAACCCCAACTCCTGCGCATGATTTTCTGGAGTGGAGCTGTTTAAAGACGTGAGAGCAATGCTAATGAAAGCCAATACCTATCGAGTGATTATGACCTGACCGTGCCAGGCACTGTGTGAAAGATTCACTTGCATTGTTTCACCTGATCCCTCAGTCACACTGATGTGAGTTGAATCTGGAGGGCTCCATGTTACACACAAGGAAATACGGTTTAGAGAGTCTCACTTGCCCAGACTCATACCAGAAATTGGCTGAGCCAGCACTCACATGACAATTATGGGAGCTTAGATGAGCTAGAGCAAGTGGGAAGTACCTTGGGACACAATCCACAGAAATCGAACATACCTCCAGCACTGTGGACTCTCAGACATCATCTCTTCTAGTACCTTAATCGTTCTTGCAAGTGACCCTTTTTATAACAGAAGCTCAGCATTTCAGTGCATTCTTTCCGGGGACAGAAAGATACACTGAGTAATAATTATAGTTTTCTGAATATATAAATCTGAGGTGAGGGTTGTATTTCTCTACAATGTTTAAAAAAAAAAGCCCAACATACATAATAAGACAAAATTCCTTTAAAAAGATCACTGAATCGGGCTCTGTGCTGACCGCTCAGAGCCTGGAGCCTGCTTCAGATTCTGTGTTTCCCTGTCTCTCTGCACTCCCCCACTCACACTCTGTGTCTCTCTGTCTCTCAAAAATAAATAAACATTTAAAAAAATTTAAAAAGGTCATTGACCATGCGATGCAGGAAGAGAGAGTTACAAGGTTGTTTTTGTTTTTCCTTTTTCCACTCGATGTGTCCTTGTCCATACACACATGGTTCTGGGATGCAATTTTACACACTCCACAGAATCCTGTTTTGGGGTGTGCTTGAAAAATGGGTTTGAGGTGCAGTCTTTGGGATAAATCCCCAAAATAAAAATGTGTAATCATATTTAGATGTTAAAATATCCTTAAGAACTAATTAAAAAATTTTTTTTCAATGTTTATTCATTTTTGAAAGACAGAGACAGAGCACAAGCAGGGGTGGGGCAGAGATAGAGGGGGACACATAATCTGAAGCAGGGTCCAGGCTCTGAGCTGTCAGGACAGAGCCCTACATGGGGCTCGAACTCACAAACTGCAAGATCATGACCTGAGCCAAAGTTGGGTGCTCAACCGAGTGAGCCACCCAGGCACCCCTCCTTAAGAGCTAATTTTAAAGTGTCTTAAAAGTCCCTTTCTATTTTATATGGTGCCTTTACTCATTAAAAGAGAAATGAAAATCTCTTATCACCATGCACTGATTGAGGTAAAAGCAGTAAGGTAGCAATTTTTCAAATTAAAATCTGTGTATGTACCCTAGGTTCTCTTTCTCCATGCAAGTTGATTGAAAACTTGGACCAGATTAGTTTTATCTCTTCAAAAGCATTGATTTTTTGTCCTATATTTTTAGCTTTCATCAAAAATAAAAATAACAAGCAGCAAACCTATAGCAATAGAAATTTGTTGTAGAATGGTATCAGAAATGCCTTTGTTAGCTTTGTTGCTATGAGAAGACCTTGGGAGACATTCCTTTCAGAAATTAATTCTCAGGGAAAACACATAATAAATTAGAACTTCCCTCTTTTCAGTAATCATCACCATGAAACTTACTGTGTTTTTACTTTGATCACTATAAAAATCAATACCTAAAGGACATTAGCCCAAGGGCTATATTAAACTTGTGCTTTGCTCATTTGCCTCCTCTCTGTTTCTTAGCTGTAGAAATTTTAAAAAATTAGGGGTGTTTGCACTCTTACTTCAGTTAGTTTTAGGAGAGGATGCACATAAAAACAAGAAGCACATGAATAAATGCATTCATGTTATATTTTCAAAAGCAAGCATTTTCACTGACATGATTGTATTTCTTCTTCATCACAGCCAGGGAGAAAGCAGAGATAAATGTTCAACCCTAATTTGATCATTGGAAACACTAAGGATCCAAGAAGATAAAGATTCATTTCAACAATTTCAAGCGGTACACAGCAAAGGTCTTTGCACATTTAGTTACGTGCGTGTTCCCCCTGCTTCCAAAGGGCTTGTTAACCACAAAGAAAAGTACAAACTAGTCCTGTCCAGTGGGCCCTCTGGGGCCGTGGTCTCTTATGTCAAGGCTCAGGACTTGACTTCTGAGTCTAGAGGTTATTGGATCACAGCCGGGTGCCCACGCTATCTAAAAATGATCATTTGTACCAATGGTGATCCTACGGGACACCATGGCTGAATCACAAGTGACCGTGAGTGATTAGGAAACGTGTATTCACTCTACAGTAGTGATCCTCCTGGGGACAGTGGTCCATCCTGCATCCTTTCGAGGCCTGGCACACACTCGTTCTGCAGTGTTTGCTGGGCAGCATTTCCCAGAGGTAGAAATACATCCATTGTGTAGAATGGAAGAATGTTTGTACACATAACCTCATTCCTCTCTACTTACCAAATTTCACCTTACAGCAGTACATAAAATTCAAATCTAAAAAACCCAAGACCATACTAAGACCTCAGCAACCAAATTATACTTTTTTTTTTTTGTTGAGCTGCGCTCTGGCTCTTCAAATGAACAGCATTTTGTCACATACAGCTCGTTGTTTATGGGTCATACTTTGAGCACAGCAAGATTGAAATGAGAGGGACTTGGCTGGGTAGAACATTCTTGAACGATGTGTAATTGTTCTTATTTTCTGATCAAGTAAGATCCTTAGAAATGGACTCTCTTGAACATTTATTGTGTGTGAGGTTGCTAGGTGCCTTTACATGTACTGTTTCGTTTAACCCAAACAATGATGCTAAAAACATCACTGTAACCTTAATATTTTGGTTGATGAAACTGAGGTGAAAAGGCTAAAGGAATTTTTTTCTTTTTCTTTGTATGTTCCAAAACCCATAGTATTTTAGTTCTATGGAGAAATAGCAGGACATTTATGCTACCATTAGGTAACAACATTTAAGAAAGATTTATATTTGTTTCTTTTCATTAATATTTGACAGAAAAGGTAGGCTACTGGAAGGTTATATATTATATTATATTATATTATATTATATTATACTATACTACATTATATTATACTTAGATTAGATTAGATATGCACATACCTTTCTTCATTGAGTGAAAAGCAATCTCATGATCAACCCCTCCTTTATTAGTCTCATGTGTGAAGATACATTTGTGTTCTTTATTTATTGACTGTTTAGTGCGCGTCAACCAGGTGTATTTCATGTATGTGTCCTTTGTCTTCATGGTGTTTCCCTGCTGGGATATCAGAATTCTTTTGCTGTTCTTTTCTTTCCAGTCTATCTTGACAACATCAGGGAAGAAATTCTCAAGAAGGCAAAGATACGTTCCAGTCCTATCGAATTTTATTTCAGCCATCGAAGGAAGAAAGAGTGTGGGCTTGGGGGAAGTGTCTGCATCAAGGCTTCTATCTGTGGGGGGAAATGGAATAACAGTTAAAAACATTATTAGAGAAACACAAACATTGTGTGGTTTGGAACCACCTAGCACAGAGTGAAATGAAAGAAAGTTGCCATAGTATTCCTGCTTACCATGGTCTTTCATCCACAGTGGTTATGAGTTGCTCACTTTCTTAGTTTCCATGGGAAAACAGGTACAAGAGGTCATGTAACTTTCCCAAAGTCACAGCTAATAAGTAAGTGGTAGAGTGTGGATAAACATGAGATTTTTTAAAACCGTATACATAGTCACTTTTTGAATGGGAATCTACTTCCACACATACTTGACAATCTATCAAGTTGAACTCTTAGCTTCAAATATGGATCCCATGCCCACTTCTAAAGTAGTGGAATCCTCCTCCTTGACTTCTGATTTTATAGAACAACTCACTATCCCGCCTGAATCACGCAGTTTTTTGAGTAGGACAATGTTTAAAGCTGCACCTCCAAATTACTTACAATGCCTTGAATTTAGAAGCAACGTGGCAACATATACAAAACTGCTATTAAAAAACTCTGATTATTTTCAGAAATGCCTTTATATTAGCTTCATGGAATAACACACTTACCAGAATTTGGTTTTGCTGTGGAAAATGGTCACTAAAAGCACATTTTCTATTGGAATTTCATTTGAAGTTCAAGTGTGACTAGGAAGACTTCGTATTTTGACTCTCAGAGTCTCCACTCAAAGCATAATCTTCCTAGAAAGCTGCGGAACTGTTTACAATGCCACAATAATCGGTGATGTCAGCTGCTTAATAAAGTTTTATGTAAGTAGTGTAGTGTTAACAGTTAGGGTTCCAGAGTTTCCTGTAGACATAATGGCAGAATACATAACAAAACATCATAGTTTTCAGGGGCATATGTTGGTATGTTAGTTGATCACACATTTACTGTTAATGATTGAAATGATAAATGTTAGAATCCTTTCAAAATTGATTTCCAACTGAAATGCAAGTGCTTTACTGATATTCTCTTTGGGCTAGTTTGGAGTTAGTTTAACAGTCCAATGGACAATTTCTTAAGAAAAAAGAAGTCAGATTTCTCATTTGAGAAGTACAAGTAAAAAAATTATTTTTTGGGGGGTACTGTTAATACTCAATTTTGTTTTTTTTTTTAGGAAAAAAATTTTTTGAAAATTTCTACATGTGTAACAAAGCTCCTGATTTTTATACTAAGTCAGTAAGCAAAGGATGAGTTTTTATTCATGCTGCAGGTAGAATTAGGGCATAATGTGCTTATTTTAAGTTTATACATCTTGCTTGTAGTACAAATAGTTTTTTATTCATTATATCAATAAGATACTGTATATTTCTCCAGCCATATACTCTGCTTTTAATTTAAAAAACAAGCTAGATACACAAGATTAATTTTTCAGTTGTACATGACATTTACATAATTTTAGCCTGTAGTCAATATATTAAGGAATCTAATTTTCATCTTAGAAAATTTGTGTTTTTTTTTAAATAGGAATACTTCTGATTCCTGATAGTATACAACTTTAAAATCAAATGATGAACTTGAGAAGTTTCTGGATGGTAACATACTGTTTCTAACTCTTGTCTCTTTTCCTTTTTTTTAATTTTTATTTTAAAAATTTCTTTTTAACGTTTATTATTGAGAGACAGAGAGAGACAGAGCATGAGCATGGGAGGGGCAGAGAGAGAGGGAGACACAGAATCCGAAGCAGGCTCCAGGCTCTGAGCTGTCAGCACAGAGCCCAATGCGGGGCTTGAGCCCACAAACCATGAGATTGTGACCTGAGCTGAAACCAAGAGTCAGATGGCCAACCTGCTGAGCCACCCACACGCCCCGAGGTTGATAGTTTTTCAAGTCTAACTGAAGATGACTTGAAACATCAGAGAAGATGTTTGCAAATCCCACTCTGCCACACAGATGCTAAACATGCACCATTCAAACGCATTAAAATGCCAGAGCCTAAGGTGAGGTTTACTTCCCAACACAATCCCTCAGGTTGCCTTATGTCCTTGGGCAACGTCCTCAGTAGATGAAGCTCTTCTACTGCTCTGCTTTGATCAAACAATACTGCTTGGACAAGATATCAACCCGAAATAAACCCAATGCTAGTTTCAGAGGTAGCGCTGGTAACATGGATTTGGCAAATATTACTTGGGACGAAAAGCACTACACTTTACGCTTACATCGCACAAGTATAGAATAGTGAAGTGAATGAAAAAAATGTTTTTTTTAAAATTTTGTAAGTGAGTAATTTTCTCTTCAGATAAAAGATCCAGTGACAGCATCATAACGGGATGCCCAAACAGAAACTCGGACCCGGAGACAACTCAGGAATTTGCTCTAAAGTGGATGTTTTAGATGCATATGAAAAGTCTGAACAAAATTGGTAATGAAATGTGAGGGCAGAAAAAGCAATATTTCTGAAGTGATGCTGTACTGATATCATTTTTAACTTTGTAGGTATAATTCAATTAAGATATTAAATATACAAATGAATACTTGACTTTTTATCTATATCACTGTAAGTTTATATATTTAAGTTCTGAAACTTCCTCCCTATTTCTCTATGTCTGGATATTTCCACTGAAAAATTAGAGATCACCTTTTATTCAGGCTAGCAGTCTTTAAAGTGAGGCTTATTACAGTCTCATCATTTTTACAAGCAGGTGACAATGAGTCTTAGGAGTTGGAAGTATTTCATAAATTCGACCATTTGTTCTAAAATGACATGTAGACTAGATGGTAATTAACATGTTTTTCTGTACTCCTGATTTCATTAAAAAACTCCAGTGGGTGGTAATTTGAATTCTTGAAATTGTCATTCTTTATCTCTGACAACCTAATTTTTATAGTAGCTATTTCCATATTTAATTTCATTTAGTCTTTGTAACATCCTCTTGAGATGGTTGTTACATTGATAGAATGAATGGAAGGAAAGATGGCAAATATTAACAGCAATAAGTGTCACTGAAAATTTTTAATTTTTTTCTCTATTTTTCTATTTTCCAATTTTTTCTATGATAAGCATTTATTATTTTTATAATTTTAAGAAAGCAATAATGACTGAATCAAAATTTAATCACTAAAGGATGGTTATCCAGAAAGTGATAGATCCAGATCCACAGTCTATATTTTGTGTACCACATTCTCCTAAAAGACATCTTTCAGGACTCCATGAATTATATCTAAGTCACCATTATTTAATTAGATTGTAAGAATTTACATTGATTACGTAGTCAATTGGAAAAAGGACCAGAAGCTTGCTTTTCAGCTTATGAGTTCATTTGTGCCTATGATCACAGCCATTAAGGAAAACACGATATATCATCTTTCATTTTTTTCAATGTTTTACCACCTTTGAGAAAATTCTTAAAAATTTTTATTTGACTCACCTAGTACGCTAGCCATCCCTGTGAGAAATTCTCCCCCCTCAGGCAAAATTTCATTTCTAAGGCTAATGAAGAATGAACAAATTTAATACTGCATTTAGGGGAAAAAGCCTAGCTTATCACATTTTTGAATATGTTTACACAGGTAAATGTTTCGATATTTGATATTAATTATCCTTTGACAAAACACAAGTTTAGCAATTTTTTTCATCCTTTTTTGTACCATTTATTTATTTTTGAGAGACAGAGCCAGAGCACAGGTGTGGGAGGGACACAGAGAGAGAGGGAGACACAGAATCTGAAGCAGGCTCCAGGCCCCAAGCTGTCAGCACAGAGCCCGATGGGGGGCTTGAACCCACGAACTGTGAAATCATGACCTGAGTGGAAGTCGGACACTTAACCGACTGAGCCACCCAGGCACTCCGTGTTCATTCTTTTCCATTAGTTATTTTTGGATTTAAATGAATAAGATAAACTTCTTTACAAAACTTTCAACACAGAAAACCCAAATGGCCCTAAGATCTCCATCCCTTAGAAACCCCCAGTTGCTGTCGCAAGTTAGCCCCTTGTCAATGTCCTTCACGGGAGCTCAGGTGGCAACTACCCCCAAGGACTGGGACACAGTCACCTACCTCTCCAAGGATCCTGCTGCCATTTGCGACCAAACTGGGACTGAATCCTAGAACTCTGAGCCGGCACCAGCACCTAGCCTTCCGCCCCTGCATCCCCTGCCTCCCCTCCCTACGTTATACAGAAGAATGAAAGAATATTTACCTGTGACCCTGAGCAGTGTGCCCGGACCGAACACTTTGTTGCCCCAGCTATACCAGCGATACCCATCATACCACTCCCACTGTCTGAAAAGCTTGTACAGAAATCTCCCTTTGTGCCACCTTTTAAAATTTTGCCCACATTTTTTCAATATTTATATAAACATATAAAAAGTAGGTCCTGCTAACATTACACAAAGATGAACCTCAAGCAACATCACATCAGAGATGAACTTAGTCAAGAATGGGGGAACTGACCTCTCTCTGCCTGGGCAGCTGGGTTGTGTCTTTCCATCTCGCTCACACGCATTGGAGAATATGGTTTTACCTTCTCTCGACATTTTCCTGACCCTTAGAAATCTCTTCCCTTAAAAGACTTTGTCGTGCAATATCGCTTCTTTTATTAGAGTATAGTTTGCAGTTATTATTTATTTTGTTTTTGAAGAGGAACAAAAAAGTATTTAATAAATGAATCTTCAATATTTTTACATGTTTTTTTCTTATTTCTAGGTATTGAGGGGTCGCTATCTTGTTTGACTGTAGGTAAATTCTTTCCAGAATCCAAGCCCCACTGATGGTAGACCAGATGAGTAGTTACAGTCTGAAATATTAATAATAATCTCTTAATCTATTCATTACTGAAAGACTGCCTGTTTGAACATGAAATTACCCCAACAGTTTCCAGGCATTGATTTAAAATCCTGAGATGCTCGTGGGGTGCCAGGGTGGCCCAGTCCGTTAAACGTCCGACTTTAGCTCAGGTTGCAATCTCACAGTTTGTGGGTTCAAGCCCCACGTCGGGCTCTGTGCTGACAGCTCAGAGCCTGGAGCCTGCTTCGGATTCTGTGTCTCCTCCTATCTCTGCCCCTCCCCTACTCATGCTTACTCTCTCTCTCTCAAAAATAAATAACATTACAAATTTTTTTAAATCAAATCAAATCAAATCAAATCAAATGCTGAGCTGCTCATCAGAGGATCCTGTCTGGTCTGGTCTTTCTGCCACTGCCCCGGCCTGAACAGAAAGGCAGCTGTGGGTCATGCGGCCAAGTCCTGCTTGTAGGTCACCTGCTCCAGCTGTCCTGCCCAAGTCAGTGTTTCTGGCGCACTTGATGCCGATGCAGAAAGAAGACTGAATGCGATGGTGTGGAAAGGACTTGTCATTTTATAGCAATACCCTAAGAATCACATTTTGAAAATCTAATGAATGCGTATTCAGCATGACTTACTGGATATTTTGGGGGGAGGAGAGGCCATTTTAATGCCATGATTGGAAGCAGAAGCATTGTTTTCTGTATGAGGAGCAGTATAAATTATGAACTATTACTAATTAAGCATTCAACTAAAGAGTCTATTTTATTTTTTTAAATTTTTTGTTAATGTTTATTTATTTTTTGACAGAGAGAGAGAGAGACAGAGCATGAGCGGGGGTGGGGCAGAGAGCGAGGGAGACACAGAATCGGAAGCAGGCCCCAGGCTCTGAGCTGTCAGCACAGAGCCTGACACGGGTCTCCAACTCACAGACTGCGAGATCATGACCTGAGCTGAAGTCAGACGCTCAACGGACTGAGCCACCCTAAGACCCCTAAAGAGTCTATTTTAAAGGTCAGGCTGCGCATGAGTAAATATCGACATATAAAAACATGGCTAAATGTCTCTAGTATCACATCATGGCCCACACCATGCATTCTGGGGTGGACAGGTCTCTGTTGGATCCCACTTTTTTGACATAGTAACTTGCCATGTGAGTTAAGGCAAATGACTGAACTTCTCCAGACCCCACTTTCCACATCTGTGAACTTGGAATACGAGGATTTTCTGTATAGGGCTGTTGAGGAATGAATGAGATAAGGCGCTGAAACTAGTCAGTATGGTATCTGGCCCTCAGTGAAACTTAGCTAATATTATTATTCTCTTCAAGGGGGTGGTTTCAGGCCATCATATCAAAATTTTCCACCAAACAAAACATCTGGCTTTTATAAGCAATAGGTATTATACAAATTAATAAAGAGAGCTCATGAATCCAAGACTTTCTCTGTCTTACAGCTACATGCCGAAAAGGGATTATGGCCTGAAGAAGCCACGATCTAGAATACTTGTCCTGTAGACCAAAAGCTTTTTGAGTGTTGGGGCTGTGTCTTTTTTACTCTTTATCTCTAGCATCCAACACTGAAACTGTGTTCAATAAGTGTTTCCTGAGATAATAAATGAACAAATGAAAACGTAAACCCAGGCAGACGGACTTTTTCTATGGACTTTGGAGTTGAAATGCTTTATTGAGCTCACAAAATCCATTAAACTGGACTGTTGCTAGGCAATATCACGAGACTCACAATAGCACAAATTTCGACTAGTCTCAGGCTGCCCTCTAAGAAGCTAGAGTAATAAGAATTAATGGGATTATTGACATTTTGTAGTCATTTACTGTAAGAATAAATTATTTTTCAACTGCTAAAAGCTGAAAGCAAAAGCAGTTACAGAATTTGGCAGGTTATTAGAGAAAGAAGCACTAGTCATTAAGAACGGAGCACTATTCATACTAAAAGGAACTTAAAGTGTCTGTCTCTTCAGAGACCATCTACAAAAAAAGCAGCTTGAACCATTAACTCACACCAATGGTTTATAGACACAGTCCTAAAAATCATTTTAATTTCAAGACTGAGTCTATTTTTGTGTGTATATTTTTCTAAAAGTAGAAGTTCGCTCCACTTGCAAGCAGAGCAGTAAATAAACGTTTGCAAAGTAGTTTTATTTCCATGTAGAGTGTCTGTAGCTGCGAAATTGCTGCCCATAAGCTGCTCTGATCCTAAATTGTTTTTTTCTAAAAAACATGTATCAGTTTTTTTATTCACACGATCAAAGCAGAACAAAGTTACTTACCCGGGGGAGTTACTATGACCTTAGTTCCTTCTGCAAATACCATGATCCAGCCTGATTCATCACACTGGTTAGAACTTCTACAAAAATGTCAGCCTTGTCCTGAGCCTCATGGCATGACTGGCAAGTAGAAACCTGGTCCTGGCAACTTGATCTTCTGGGTTCCCTTGGAAGTCCTTGAGTATAGGCTTCATGGCGTCTGACATTTTATAAATTTTCCTCAGATTAGTTGGCAAAAATGTCTGTTCTCCAAGGAGCCAGTAATTACTGAAAGTGCTGATAGAAAATGGAAACAATGAAAGCACCAGTAAAAAAGAGAGATTGGAAGTAACTAGGCAACCAACAGTTATCTAAATTACCAGCAAAAGTGTTCAGAGAATTAAGATGTTTTGATTTCCAGGTGTTCGAGTGTGTGAAACTGCTTAGAGATCTCATCAAAGGCAAAAAACCCTTCTGTTCTCACAAACACCAAGCCTGCTCCGTTAGCAATCTGGGATTGTGTTTCTGAAAGAGGAAACTCTTCAGTAACCAGAAATACAAACATACCAACAGAAATATACTCGAGAAGTGTGAACAATGTTCTCCATTTTAAAATCAGCTACTTTTACCACTTGACAACATGAGTCTCTACCACACAGTGCAAAAATGAGAAAATAATTTGTTAGGACATTTTTTCCTGGAATAAAAGAAGAAAATTGTAGAAGTCCGTCTTCTATGAAATACTAGATTCCTATTTAAACCATAATTTGAAAACAAAATCCAGTTCTCTGATATGTTGAAAAAAAGAAGCCTCTTGGAAGTTATTCTGTGGTCTTTGGAAATGCACATGTAGCCCTATCTCTGTGGTTAACTAGCTTTGGACAAGACATTTGCCATCTCTGGGTTCCCATGTCTCCGCTTGTTGTGTGGGCATTGGGCTATGTGTGTCCAACAGGCCCTTCCTCTTCCAACAGCTCATAAACCTGTGATTAAGAGAGCAGGAAAGGGTCTGCTGTGGTTGCTCAAGTGAGAAAGGAGTTGAGGGTTAGTAATAAAGAAGGTTTTCTTACAAGTCCTTCTGACTCTATGACATTGTGAGATCCCAGCAGGTACACTAGCAGGTATCTTCATCAGACTGGAGGACCTTACTGATTATCAGGTAAAAGACTCTGTTGTCTTTCCCATCTGTGTACAAGCCAGAAATGGTAATATTGGTTGAGCCATACAGGATTCGTTTCAGAGCCTCTGCTTCTTTTGGTTGTTACTGGTGGACGATGGTCTTCGAGAGAGTAACCCAAACTGCTTACAATGTATATAAACTGTTCTTTCTGTTAGGTAAAGGAGAGTCGATCCTGAGGGATGCTTATTGTGGTGTCTCCATTTGGAAAGCATGGGAGTGAAATCAGAAGCACTTGAACAAGTTGAAAGTGGACATAAAAACAGTGAAAAGACAGTCAACCTACAAGCCCAAGCCAAAGACACACAAATCCATGGGGTTGGCATTGCCAGTAACTAGTCAGAATGGACTCTAAGTGGGGGGCATGAATCAGGACTAGGGAATCAGTGGCAGCCCTCATTTTTCAGAGGCAAGGAAGGAGAGGAAGATTTACTTTAGAACCAATGGCATACTTCCTCAGTAAGACCTATGTCAGTGTTATTTTATTATGTTCCTGTATAAAGAAATATGAGATCCCAGAAGACCTCACCAAGACATCTGTGTAATAATAATTCAATATTATCTTCCCTTTGGGGTAAATACCTTCACATTTTTCCTTTAGGTTTTGCTTCAAACACATGTACCCTTAAGCTCTTTTTCATCTCTGAGTTACAGATTTTTCACCAAATTTTGTGAGTGTGGGAGCTATATAGCTATCATGAGAATTGGAAGAAAACTCTTACTACTATGTAATAAGAAATGAGATAATAACCCCAAAATATTATGCAGAAGTATCTACATTTTATAGGTCATTAGTTTATAGAAAGTTCCCAAAGCTTGGTGAAATTGAAATATTATTATAGTTACTGCTTTAGGTGTTATGACATTACTGTCCTCTGCTGTGAATGAAGAAAAATCTTGGAAGAAAAATATCCTTTGGTTTATGACCCTCAACTCTTATCCTATTCAAAATTCTTAGCTTTTCAAAATAAAGAAAACTTTACTGTTGTTTGAAGGCCAATGTCAGATGTGACTTTTAATG